ATTATGGTACTTAATGGCCCTTAAACCTTAATTTCTTCATCTTTGAAAAGGGGGTTTAGTTTAGTATGTACACATTATAGAGCCTAGCACATAGTTTTGCTGTATTTTGCTGTATATAATGTGCTCCTATGTATAATGTGCATCACATTTTGGCCCAGACTTTCAGGAAAATGCCCCTTTAGAAAGTGGCCGGCTCTTCGTTGGGAGAGACAGGTCTGGCAAGGGCTGATGCTCCCCTGGTAAATGTGCAGATCACACGGCCCACAGCCGCCCGCTCTGTGAAGGCAGAGGCATCCTATTTTTTCCCTCAAAAATTTGGGCAAAGAAGTACACATTATACATAGCAAAATGTGGTAAAAGGTTATTAAGTTTTCAAAAAAGCTCGTAGAATAAATAAAAATGAAATTTTCTTTGTGGTGGTATTTAATTTAGATATTGAGTGATTTGCCTAAACATTTCTCTTTAAACTGTGTTTAGTCTACCTTAAATTTTTTATAATTGTTGTGTGGTACCTCTCTTCTTCTTAGCTTCTTTAAGTTAAAGTAGAATTTCTATAATCTTGTCTGTCATCTTTCATGTTTTGTGGTTTGACCAGATACAATACTTTGTTATCACGAAGTGTAAGTGGCTTTATAGTTCTAGGGAAATGTGCGTATGATGGACAGTGACAGGCTTCAGCAGAAGATAAGGATACCTCTGAGTGATGATGTATTACATATGCTGTGGGATTCTGATTCTAGAACTGCATGATAGCTGCTTTCCCTGCCGGCTTTTCAAATTTCTCCTCTTTGATAAGGCTTCTCATTGCCAGGGAGAATAAAGGCCAGCTTCAATGTGTGGCATGTAAGTAACACTTTTGTGGTACCTGTGGCCTTGGGGCCACATGTGGCCTTCTGGATCCTTGTGTGTGGCCTTTTCTCTGAGTCCAGATTTTACAGAGCAACTCCCTTTATTGAAAGGATTTGGTAACACTTTTGGATTTGGTTGAAGGGCTCAACTTGGAGATCTGGCAGGCCACATGTGGCCTTGAGGCCGCAGGTTCTCCACCCTGAGCTTTTATTGATATTGCCACAGTTTTTCAAAGCTATTGTCAAGAGAAGTTTTTAACGTAACCACCATTAGCAGCATCTTCCTAAATTGAGCATCAGTTCTCAAGGGGGTTACGTCTCTTTTTTTGGTCAGGTTTTGCCTTTCTCATCTATTGATGAACTATGCTTTATTTTCTTCCCACGTAAGAATTTGGGATGATGGAAATATTGAAAATAACCTACATGGTTAGCAGTGAAATGGAATCATGGTTATAATAAATCACATCTGCCATTTGCTGAGTATGAAAAATGTTAGGCAATGCAGATATTATCTCCTTCCATTAAAAAACATGTATGCTCATATATTTGAGCTCACTGCCTTTCTTAGATTTAACAGTAACATATAATCCACGTTTTTTCCCACTTTGCTGCTTTTAGCTGGTATACACTGGAGATCATGTCATAGTCATATATTCCTTTTTTTTTTTTTTCGAGACAGAGTCTCAAGCTGTCACCCTGGGTAGAGTGCTGTGGCGTCACTGCTCACAGCAACCTCAAACTCTTGGGCTTAAGTGATCCTCTTGCCTCAGCCTCCCAAATATCTGGGACCACAGGCGCCTGCCACAACACCCAGCTATTTTTGATTATAGTTCTCATTGCTGTTTGGCAGGCCTGGGCTGGATTGGAACCTGTCAGCTCTGGTGTATGTGGCTGGCACTTTAGCCGCTTGAGCTACAGGCGCTGAGCTGAGATGTCCCTTCTTCATTTTCATCGCTTCACACTTCTCTAGTGTGTATGTTCTTCCAGTTTTCTTAGAGCAGTATCTATTAGTATCTATTGTGCATATAGTTTGTAACCCTGTCCTCTATTGTATGTTTCTAATCTTCAGTTACCATATGTGGTGTTACAGATGAAAAGCTTTGTGCATGCATCTTTTCATATGTTTGCCAGCATATTTTGGGGGGATGGATTTCCTAGAAATAGATTGGCTGGATTGAACGGTAAATGCATGTGTTATTTTGGTACAGATATTGCCAAAATTTCTTTCATATAGCTCATATTCTTTTGCGTCCTCCTGCCCAACAGATGTCTCTACAGCCTCACCAATGCAGTATGTTGTTAGTCTTTGGGATTTTTGCCATCCTGATAGGTAGAAAATGATACCTCAATGTAGTTTTCATTTATTTATTTTACTATAAGCATATGGCAAGGTTTAGCATCTTTTCATGTGGGTAAGACTCACGTGCAATTTATTTTTTATAGGATTCTTTGCTTTTTTTCTTTGCTGTTTTTAAAACTGTCTTTATTTAGGGATATTAGCCCTTTATGGTCGTTTATTATCCTGGGAAAATGCCCACAATTGGTTGAGTACAAAAAGCAAAATATTGGCTGGGTGCGGTGGCTCACACCTGCAGTCCTAGTGCTCTGGAGGCCAAGACGGGTGGATTGTTTGAGCTCAGGAGTTTGAGACCAGCCTGAGCAAGAGTGAGACCCCATCTCTACTAAAAATAGAAAACTAGTTGGATCTGGTGGCTCAGGCCTGTAGTCCTAGCTACTGGGGAGGCTGAGCCAAGAGGATTGCTTAAGCCCAGGAGTTTGAGGTTTCTGTCAGCTATGACACCACGGTACTCTACCCAGGGTGACAGAGTGAGATTTTTTTTCAAAAAAAAAAGAAAAGAAAAAGAAAAATGCTTAAATTGTGTATTCATTATGAATCTTAACTAATAACAGATAGAAAGGTGTGTTTTTGTATATGAAGGAAAACGTATGGATGCTATACAAACTGAGTATTACCATTAATTATCATTGGGCAGTATGATTGTAAGTGACCTTTATCTTCTTTATTCTTCTCTGTATTTTTAAGATTTTTTATAATAGCACATTATAAACTGGGGAAAGATATTTAGAAAAAATAAGACACTGGCAAAATATTTACATTGAGTGATTGTCAAGATGTTGATTAATATATTTCAGAACTTCATATTAATTCGTGATATTCACTTACTATGCCAAGTAATGTGTAGGTCCTGGAGAACTAGCAGGGAACAAAATAGGTAACGATCCCTGCCCTCAGTGTATTTATAGTATGTAAAGGAAAAAGACAGTTAAATAGTTCTAAAATGTTCACTTACCTATATATTGTCTATTATTTGTATTGACATTTGGATGAAATTTTCTTTGCTGTGACATGTTACATAGATGTGTGTTTGTGTGTGTTCAGCCATGTCACTTTGTGGAAAAGTGCATATATTTTATTGATAGAACCAACCATAATTCTAGAGTAGGGTTCAAGAGGTGAAAGGACAGGAACTTTTTGGCAACTTGTACTTTGGAGAACCACTCTTGGTTCTTGAGAAGTTCTAGGAACTGTTGAGTAGTATAGGGAAGTTGAATGAACAGAAAAAAGTAAGAGATCCCCTGAAAAAGACTGGGGAAAATTGGACCAGGATTAATATGAGGAGCCCTCTTTGCATGGCTAACTCCTACCCATTCTTCAAAGGCCAATTAAAGTATTACCTCCACTGAGAAGGTATCTCTGGCTCCTAAAGGCCAGGTTTGGCACTGGTGCAGTGGTGCTCAGTAGAGGGCGGTGTATGTGTGGTCAGTGACTGGTCAGCCCTTCTTCATTTTTTGTCTCCTTCCTCTTAATGCCCTCTCTTGACTCTAATCCCACTCTATTCGGTGTTAACCTTCCCCTTTCCCCTTTATATATGGTCTATTCATTACCAACCAGTAATACAATGGGCCTTTCTTAGCTCCTCAGAACAATTGAATTTTGCTTTGGACTTTTGCCTTTGGCTGTTGAATCTGGTTAATGAAGTTATTAGCATGACCAGCCATTCCATTTTGCCTGAGACTGTCCCAGTTTCAGCACTGAAAGAGTCCTGGTTCCCGGGAAACCCCTCAGTCCAGGACAGTTTGCTATTTTAGTTAGTAGTGACCTAGGAACTGCTGTCTCACACGTGACTTGGATGATTCTGAAGTTTTGTTTCCTAGCACTTCCCTTGCATTCGACGTGTTAATATTTTTCATCATAGGCTATAGTATCAGGTGATGTTATGTCATAGAAGATGAGTAATCTCTCTTCCTGTTTAATCTTCAGCCAAAAGCTTTTGAACAATACTTGAATCTGGAAGATAGCAGACTGCTGAGTCATCTGAAGACGTGTTCTGCAGTGTCTAAACTTCCTTATGATCTCTGGTTCAAGAGGTGCTTTGCGGGATGTTTACCTGAATCCAGTTTACAGAGGCAAGTATTTCTCTGGAAGACAATAAAGATTTGGGGGTAGAGAAGAATCCTGGCCTTTGAGTTGAGCATCCCTCAGAATGTAAATTTATTTATTTATTTATTTATTTTTGAGACAGAGTCTTAATATGTTGCCCTCAGGAGAGTGCTGTGGCGTCACAGCTCACAGCAACCTCAAACTCTTGGGCTTGTTAAGAGATTCTCTTGCTTCAGCCTCCCAAGTAGCTGGGACTATAGGCTCCTGCTGCAACTCAAAGCTAATTTTTTTTGTTGTCATTGTCGTTGTTTAGCAGGCCCGGGCTGGGTTCCAACCCACCAACCCTGGTGCATGTGACCATTGCCCTAACCACTAAGCACAGGCACTGAGCCTATAAATTTGCTTTAGGAACAGTACAGTCATTTGAAGCTAAATTCTCCAGTATCTACCATAGGAAATGATCCTGCTTATTATTGAATGTACAATTAGAAAAATCAAAGGCTTTCAGCATGTTGCCTGCTGTACATAATTACATCTCAAACAATTATCAGGAGTTGATATAAGCATAATTTCTTCTTTCCCGGAATGTGGTAGATCCTAATCAGGCAGAAATCTTGGTATTTCTTAGTTTCACTGTGATATCTTTAAAGGATCCAAAGGTAGTCAAAGATTGGAGATTTAAACTTATCTCTTCCAGTCCCAGAGTCAGACAGTGTTATGGGTATTTCTGAGTACTGGCCCCCCTGCTTCCAACTCTTACGATGTAGTTGAAAATAAAAAGCAATACACAGAGAACATTATAGGATAATGCATAACTAACTGTATAGAGTATAATACCAACTTTTAAGAGTTATAGGAATTATCAGAATAATTAGTTTAGGATGGTTGCAAAACAATAACTGGCTCCTTCAGCCCTCAGATAATTTAAGGAATCTGTCTCTAGAAATCACCTGCAGTGAAATTGAATTGATGTCATTTCATATGCTGCTTTTGTTACCGTCCCTGAGTATGTAATGATTAGATTAGCATTATAGCATATTAGTAAATTATAAACCGTGGTTTACTCAGGACTTTCTTTTTCTTCCCCCAGAAAATCAGGTTTGTATCACAAAGGAATGTGCATTTGTAGATAACTAACAGAGCAGCAGTTTTTAGTGAACTTTCTCTTTTCTTTCTAAAGCTAATTGTGTTTAGATTTCAAATGGTTTCTCTATTTTGTTGTTTTTCATGATTATTTCACAATGGTTGTTCTTTGAAGCTTATATATAAAATAGCAGCAATTTCATTTTCTTTTGTAATTTGAGATATCTACATTAACATGTATTTCAAGCTCGTGTAATTTGATTGTATCTCCTTATTTTTTAGGGTTTGGGATAAAGTTGTAAGTGGATCCTGTAAGATCCTAGTTTTTGTAGCTGTAGAAATTTTGTTAACCTTTAAAATAAAAGTAATGGCATTGAACAGTGCAGAGAAGATAACAAAGTTTCTGGAAAATGTAAGTGTGCTTGGCTTTGATTTCATTTGATTTTAATCTCGATATGAAATCATTTTAACAAGTTAGATTTTCCTATTGTATTAAATTATTTAGAGAAAGAATACAGTGCATTTTGTACATTGTAAGAAACATTTTTCTTTGGAAAAAATTGGCTTAAAGTTGGCTTGTAGATTATCGTTTGGGGGGTGATGGTGTGAGACCTTTGCATTAATGTGTCCACTTAGGACCAGAGTCTCACCCTCCATGTGACTACCAGTAAGCATGTCAGGAAGGATGAGTAATTTTGGTCAATGCACAAGGAATCCTGATGTTTTGGGGGATTTTGTAAGTTCTTTTCTATCCTTGGTATAATCCTAGTTGGGTTCGTTAATGTGCTTAAGTATTAACTTAGTGTGTGTTGAAAAAAATTAACTTTCCTTCCCTATAACAGAATACCTTCTACTGGGCAAGAAGGAGAATTAAAAAGACTTATGCCTGGATGATTTTCACAGAATCCCAAATCTATTCTTCTTTTATTTTCAATAGGATGAACATTTGAACAGTAGCACAGTAAATAATAAATACTAAATGAATGTGTGTTGAATAAATCAATCATCATCATCATCATAATTAGTAGCTAACAGTGCCGGGTATTAAGTATTGTTCATGGATTATCTCATGTTATCCTGCTAACAGCTCTATGAAGTGGGGCTCTCATTTACCCCATTTTAGAGATGGGGACCTGAGACCCAGCAGCTTAAGTAACCTGCCCAGAGAAACAATTAGTGAGTGGCTAGTGGAGGACTTGAACCCAGGCCTCCTGACATCAGAGCGCCCTTCTGTGTTCTCAGGTGGCATGTGAAAGCCTTTTATGCTTTCACTGTTTGAAAACTCCCATGGAAGTAAGTTTTATGCCACAGTGAATGAGAGAACGTACTTTAGTTGTAAACACTGAAATTTCACCAAGACTGATTTGCTTGTCCACAGATTCCTCAGGACAGCTCGGATGCGATTGTGAGCAAGGCCATTGACTTGTGGCACAAACACTGTGGGACCCCGGTCCATTCATCCTGAATGCTCCCAGCAGCTGTGAACAACCACCTGCCAGGCCCACCCTGAGCATTTTGGTTTGGGACATGTGATGTAAACTGATTGAAAACAGCGTTTTGCTTTGGTGCTCAAAGTGTAATTTTTTTCCCAGTAAAGTTATTTCATTGAAATACTTGGTGTTGCTGTGCATTGTAGAGCATCTTTTGGCTACACAGAAATAAAAAGTTGGCTCAGTGCCCATAGCTAAGTGGTTAGGGTGCTGGCCACATGCACCGGGGCTGGTGGGTTCAAACCCAGCCTGGGCCTCCTAACCAACAATGACAACAAAATGGCTGGGTGTTGTGGTGGGTGTCTGTAGTCCAAGCTACTTGGGAGGCTAAGGCAAGAGAATCACTTAAGCCCAAGAGTTGAAGGTTGCTGATGCCATGGCACTTTACCAAGGGTGACATAATGACACTCTGTCTAAGAAAAAAAGAAAGAAATGAAAGTTCCATCTCTGAATGGCATCCTTTTTTTTTTTGAGAAAAGGTCTTGCTCTGTTGGCTGCCCTAGAGCACAGTGACATCATCATAGCTTGTTACAACCTCAAACTCCTGGGCTCAACCACCCTCCCACTCAGCGTTTCTAGTAGAGGGGACTAGAGGTGCACACCACCATGCCTGGCTAGATTTTTCTAATTTTTGTAGAGATCATGTCTCACTATGTTGTCCAGACTAGTCTCAAATTCCTGGCCTCGAGGAATCTTCTTGACTCAGCCTCCCTAAGTGCTAGGTGTGAATCACTGTGCTCAGCCCTGAAAATTGCTCTCAGTTTTTATAGCAGTTGAGTCAAGGTGGGTGGGTGCATTAACAAGCAGTGCATAACTAATCCTGTCCTGTTTCTCTCTAATTGGCACCAAGCTAGTTACTTTAAGGTCTATTTCTGGAACACAAAGAGCAACTTCTTTTGTTGACACCTCAGATCTGGCTTTTGTTGATGCGGTATTTGTTTAAATCTAAGCTGACTGCCTTCTGAGACTTCATCTTGCTAAACAGGCTTTTAAAAAGTCCTTATATATTTTTTTCTCTTTGCCCTAGTTGGAATGAAACCATTATTGCACAGAGTGTGCTTGCACTTGCCAACTAAGGGAGAGTACTTGTTTGAGATTTTGCTTTACTCATACTTTTTCTGATGGGTCATTAAAATGGACTTGAGGGAGCATTCTGTCACACAGAAGGAGTAGGGAGAATGGTGGATGAAAGTTAATAGCCAATGACCTCTGGGCCATATTGTGCCACATAATGGTCACTCTTTATTGGACAGTGGCCAGCCTTGAGAGTACAAGTGAAAAGGGGCCCTTTGTTTCAGACTGGTTCAGCCTTTAGACCTATAAGAGCCTGAATGGTAACTTGGATTCTCCACCCTCTAAAAGAGGAGGGAGATGATGAAATTACAGAGTTATAATCCTGAGAATTTGTTCCCTCCCAAATGTATAAAATGCCTGTTGAGAAAGAGTTCAGAGGAAATGGAGTTGTTGAAACCAACTGCTACTTCTGAACACTGTCATATCCAATAGTATTTAATTTTTTTTTTTTTTTTTGAGACAGAGTCTCAAGCTGTTGCCCTCGGTAGAGTGCTATGGCATCACAGCTCACAGCAACCTCAGACTCTTGGGGCTTAAGTGATTCTCTTGCCTCAGCCTCCTGAGTAGCTGGGACTACAGGCACCCACCACAATGCATGGCTATTTTTGGTTTCAGTTGTCATTGTTGTTTAGCAGGCCTGGGCCAGGCTCGAACCTACCACCTTCGGTGTATGTGTCTGGTGCCCTACTCACTGAGCAATGGGCACTGAGCCAGTATTTAATTTTTAAAACAAAAATACGCTCTGAAGAAAAACCTCTTAAAGCTGCTACTTACAGTTAATACTTTAAAAAATGACATACTGCCAATCATCTTATTCAGTCATTGCCTCTGTCCCTGAAGAACTTCCATCCAGTTCTGGGGATATAAGAAAAAACACATGCCAAGGAATTCCTGCCCCAAGTGCCACCTATTTAGTGATCTTGAGGGATATGTGGAATTGGCAGAGAAGGCATAAAACATAAAATAATTTTACTTCTGTGTAGTTTATGAGCCACATATCATTTGTATAAAAGTTTAGTAGAATAGAGATGGTAAAGTCAAGTGCTGTTAAGTAAACCCCAACTCCAGAGAAGGGGAAGAAAATGAATTAGTGAGATGGCCAGAAGAGGATTGTTTCAAGGTCTGTGCTCCTGCTAATTCATGCCTCCACGCTGAGAGGAGACAGCTATGTGGGAGAGCAAGCGTGGAAGGCTGGAGCTAGGCAGGGAGCCCTGGGGCTTTGGGGGAGGAGGAAGGCTCGGGGACGGAAGTTCCTCTTACTTATTTCACCATCTTGGCTGGGGTCCAGCTGATCTGAAATGGAAAACTGTACTGCTGAGGGATCTAAAAATAAGTATTCTGCAAGTATATTCTGTCAAACCCACTTTGGTAAAATCTCCCTGGCTTTAGGGGGTGGGGTGGGGATTTAAGGGAGCCTGTATGATACTGAAAAGAGTGTTCCTAGTTAGAAAACCAATCAGCAGAAGAATTTCGTTAAGGTCCACTGTGATGATCATGATAGAGGGTGCAGTGTCATTTTTGTATCAGATCACGCCCGTATTCTCTTCAAAACATTTTGTCAGGACATTGCAGAATTTTTCTTCTGTGTTAAAACTTGGGGTTCTTGTTATAAAACTGTTGAGGCTAAAGTGTGGGACTCTCCCTCTCGGAAAACTGGAATTTAATGTGATTAAATTGAGTTTCTTCCCTTCTAGAGAGTCGTCTTAAGCACAGAAGGCAGAAGCTCTGAAATTCTCTCAACTAGTAGATAATACTACAGGGAAGTCGGAGTGTGTGTGTCTGTGGTTTGTGTGTGGCGTGGGGGGGGACTTTGCCTGATGACGTGGAAGTCTGATGACAGATTTTAGGTACGCAGGCTTGTACGTGTGAAAGCCATTGCAGGAAATGGGGTCAGGATTCATAACAACAAAGCAGTATGTGTGGTTCATGGAAAGTTTGCCTGAAAATCATGGGGGCAATGATCACATCACATGACAACAGAGCTCTGAAGGGCTCCTTGTTCTGTGGCTCTGGGTATGAGATGTACCTGTCCCGTCTTGAATTGCTGAAGTCATCTGTTGTGTAGTCATCACCTCCCCACTGTGACTGTAGGGTTGGTTGGTTGGTTTTCTCTGAAGGGGAAGAAGCTGGAGGGAAATCATTTGGGGTGAGGAGGGTAAACGGAGAGCTTAGATGCCCAGGACCAAGTTCTAAGAGCAGCCTCTTCACACTACCTGCCCGAGCTCTGAGGCTACGGGAGGCAGAGTAGTGGCCAAGTTCTCCAGCCAATGCAGCCTTTTAGGAGCCATGTGGGGTGGGGGAGGTGGCGGTGTGGGCACATGTGGCATCTGGCTCTGAGTTTGGCATCTGAGTGCTCACAGAGGGTAAGCGGCTTCTGTCTTCAGCTGGTGTTTTGGGCTTGGAAGGCCAGAGGGTGCTTTCTGTCCTTGACTGAGAAAGAAGGGAGTGTGGGAAGTTTTATATCTGGAGTTAGTGGCATTCTCTCTGGTGCTGAAACAGAGACCCATTTCTCCCGGACACTCTGTGCCAAACGAAACTGCTTGTGGCTCTTGGCACAGCTGTAGTTCCCGACGTCGGCTGTTGCTTATCCAGAGCTGGCACCAGTTTGAGTAGGAGGGACGGCTGGGTGAAGGAAGATGGGCACTGAGAACAGAGGGTGGCAGTCATTTTCCTGGAGGACCACATGGGGGCTGACCTTTGACTGCTTTCCTGACCAGCTTGGCCTTTTCATTTTGGTCCCTCCTTCAGCCTGGGCTTGCCTTGTGGAGCTTAAAAAGTAAGAGGGCAGTTGCTGGATGAGATGAGTTCCCCCCACTGCTGGTTTTATTCCAGGGCAAGCACAGGGGAAGTTGCAGAATGTAACAGAAGGACATGGAAGAATCCTTCAAGAAGCTTGTCTTGGCTGAACAGAACTTGATGTTTAGACTTCAAAATCATAACTAGTATTTAGTTTTGCAGTTTGCCAAGGACTTAACCTCACACTGTTGAGGACAGCTAGGGCTTACGCTAACCTCGGGTTCTCCTGTGAGGTCTTCTTAGTCTTCTCCATCATCTATCTTTCCATCACAACAAGCAGCAGCCTGGTACTTGCTGATAATTTCAGCATCTGTCTCTTCCTGCCTCTGCTTGCTGCCTGTATGAAAAGCTAAGAGACTTTCTGTAGAGGCAGCAAAGAGGGGGAGAAGCTTTGGATGATTCTACACCTCAGGAGCCGGTGCTCTGCGCCACAGCAAGCCTGTGTCCCACTGTCCTCTCATCTGCTTGGTTCATTTATTCTTTTGTTTTCATTCAATCCTGAAATACATAAGAATACACTCTTAACTGTGAGCTAGATAGTGAGCTTAATTGCTGCATGGGCCATACATTATCTGCCCTCTTAGAACTTAAAGTCTTGGAGAGAAGACAAATATTACGTGTCTTCCAAGGACGTGTTTTGTTCTAAAAGTCTTTAAGAGACTCTAAACTCCTGAGCTACCACACAAGGGTGAGGGTGAATTGAGCTCCAGGGGAACGTCAGAATTACTGTGTGTTTCCTTGTCCCCTTCCCTTATTAATACAGGATGTTACAGGGAGAGCCTTGGATGGGGAAGGGGCAGGGGCAGAAGCCTCACTAGTTCTGTGAACCAAGCTGATCAGCCTGTGTCTCAGTTTCCCCATTGTCAAACAGCGATCCCATCACCTGTGCTTGTGAGCATCAGGTGAGTACTGTGAGAGTACTTTTAAGGAAGCATGAACTCTGTGATGTTGAATATTTTTAATAGCATCATTTGCAGGAGTGTGGCGGGGCATTGCTTCTATAGGAGTCTGTGCCATGCTTTTGAATGAAGTTTGTTAACTTCTGAGCGGAAGTGCCGTTTCCTTCCCCTGAGCTTCTTGTAATGTGTCAGGCACCACTCATTTAGCAATAATTGTTCCAAAGTCTCTTGTTCGGTTGTCTTGAACTTTTATTAAACTTTCCCCGTGGTTTCTCTCTAAGACCCGCATTTCTTGAGGCCAGGGACTATGTCCTGTTCCTTTTAGCCCAAGGCACCTGCAGATTCAGTGTCT